ATTCTTAAAAAAAAAAAAAAAAACTTGCCGCCACTTCTTTTTTTTTAATTTTTTTCTTTTCATTTTAACAGTAATTTTTTTATACGTTAATATTTAGTTATTATTTATAACACGTATAAATTGTACAAATTTTCAAAAAATTTTAGATTTGTCATGAATTAAAAAAAAAAAAATTCGTGCTGGATCGGGCCTGACTCGGCTCGGCTCGGCTCGCTAAGGCCAGAGCTGAAAGTGCGGGTTGAACCTAATTTTTTTGGCCAAGCTTTTGCTTGCTCGGCTTGAATAAAAAAAACTCTTAAGTATTTTTATTTGAACAGAGTCCGAGCAAAAAGTTTCGACTCTTAACTCGGTTCGTTGACACCCCTAATGCTAGGTCATTCTAGGACACATTCTTCTACCCGTTGGCTCAAAACTTTCTGATTTATCCCAATACTTGGGATCTCTTCCCATTTCACGTATATCTATAAGAATAATGTTCCCTGTATAATGTTGGGTTACAACATCTCATAAGGGAGACGTGGCCCACTATTATTTTAATCATGGGGATCACGTCCCTTGTGAGAGATTGTAACTCAATGTTGTACATGTAGCATTCTATTTACATATACTTTTCACTTTGGCTTTGTCAAGTATGACTTGTGAGAGACGGGATGTTGGAGTAATGGAGTATGTAGCCTCAAAAGTTTACTCTTTTATTACCAACTTTTGAACATCAATCATTGTTTTACACACATTCTTTCGAAATACATTATTTCATAACTCATTTTCAACTACACATTTTTCAATAAAATCATATTTTTCATTACATCAATAATTTTTCTTACTTTTTAACCAGATATTTCTCATCATATAATCATTTAAAATACATTATTTTCTCAATAATATTCATCAAACACGCCGTCAATAGTGTTGATTAATTAAGGAAAAATTGCAGAAGAGGTCCTAAACCTTTTATTTTGTTGCAGAATATACCTTAACCTTTTATTTTTGCGGCAGCAACCCCAAACCTTTCACTTTAACGACAGATGAAGTCCATATGACATATTCCGTCCAAAATTCTGTTAGTCAACACTGAAATTAGAATTTTGACTTGAAATGACAAATTAAATGAGGGGTAACAATTTCCACAATAAAACAATTAAAATGAATTTACAAAAAAAAAAAAAAAAAGACCGTGTTCATCCTTCCCAGACCACCTACCCTACCTACCCTACCCTACGCCCACCCTTCCCAAAAACAAAAAATAAGGAAACCAGTCGCTGTCGTCGTCGCCACCAATTCGCCCATATCTGTAAGTGCATTGTGTCCATTTCGTCCATCTTTTGACCCAATCAATCTTATATGTTCCAGTAGACATTTTATTTTTGGTGTTGTTGGCGTCTCCGTCTTTTATAAGAATACCATTGTTATCTCCATCTTCAGCGAAATCATCTTCTACAACCTCAACAAAATCATCCTTTATAAGAATAAAATAACCCTAAATAAGATTAATGTTTTCAGTTCATGGGCATCTCCATCTTCAGCTTACAACTTAGAACTCCAAAACCATCCAAATACCATGCAAATCACAACAAAGAGATATATACAAATTGAATCAAGAAATTTAAGTATCTTTAAAACTGTGTGATTGATTGGTTGGTAGAGAGAGAAAGTAACCTATGTGTATATCAATACTGTAAATGTAGAGAGTTTTAAAGAGAGAGAGAGAAAGATGGGGAAAGATTGAGCGATTTGATAATGAAGTGGGGGTGAAGACATAAAAACAAATGGATCTTAAATTTCGCTTCTGTGACTGGGTGCGATGGTGGACGGACCGGTGGCGATAGGTTTCCTCTTTTTTTTTTTTTGGTTATTTATTTATTTATTTATTTATTTTAATTGTTTTATTATAGAAATTGTACATATACCTTTTTGTCCTTCATTTAATTTGTCAATTTGAGTCAAAATTTTAATTTCAGTGTTGACTGATGGAATTTTGGATGGAATCTGTCATATGGACTTTGGCTGTAGTTAAAACGAAAGGTTTGGGACTACGACCACAAAAATGAAAGGTTAAAATACATTCTGTAATAAAATGAAAGATTTGAGACCTATATTGCAATTTTTCCATTATTATATGTCCCCTAAAGGTTTCTCGTACTTGGGCATAGGGAAGTCAACGAGTTGAGTCGAGTCGAGTTGGCTAGCGATTTGAAACTCAAAGTTCGGGCTCGACTCGAGTAAAAATGGATTATGCTTTTTTTTTGCCCAAGTCAAGTTTTTGTTCGACTTAAAATCTAAGCTTGACCCGAACTTTCGGCTTGACCTTATCGAGCCAAGTCAGGCCGAGTTGAGCTGGCTCGTGATTTTTTATTTTTTTTAAAAAGGCAGCGCTGTCTGTTGCCTTGTATTGCAGGCAGCTATACGTAGTTGCCAAAGTTTAAAATTTATTTATTTATTTATTTATAAATTTGCTCACGAGCTGTCTTG